ATAAATAAAAATTTTCCAATCAGGCACCCGAACCAGTCAGTTACTTTTTAACACTTTTCGTTCATCATTGTAACGTTTACAAAACACTCAAACTTTTTTAGTTGTAACACTCAATAAATATAATCAAGAACCTGTAACATTATGTGATACTCTTAAACAAATTGAGTGTTATTTGAACATACAAACGATCTTACAAAGAGAAGAAAAAACATTATAAGTGCCAGATACGTCAAGATGTGGGATTTGAGATTATGCCTAAAATAAAATTGCTTAGTTTGTTTCCCCCTCCCCTCTATTGGCCTTGCATGGCATGGCAAGGCATGACATGGTGTGGTCCAAATCCGAACCCTTTTTGGTCTTCCTCTTCGTCAGTTTGAGATTCGAGCTCTCGATAGTGCTCTCTCTCTCTCTCTCTCAAATGCCGAGCCTTGGCATCAAAAGCATCCAGAACAACAGCCAATATAGCTTCTGTGAGAGAGTCCACCATAAGCGCCATTATGCAAACATATATATGTACATATGTATGTACATATATATATATATATATTGTTGGGAATTTTATATAAAGAATGAATTGGATCTACACTGTCTCTATTTGTCTCCCTCCTGCGGTGCCAACTTGTGAATTATATATTCCAAACTTTTTTCATTGTTAGTTGTTTCTGTTAAATACATTATGAAAAGCTGCATTTATGGCAAAAGCTATAGTAGAATATAATTGACATGTGCTGAACAACCTTATAATAGCTTGTAGTTATATTAAAGTTTAGCAGCCAATCTTATTTAATTTATCAAGAGTAGAGAATTTAATTAATCAACTAGAAAAGAAATTTGTATTTAAAACCTGCTCATTATTATGTTATCATAATTCATATGGATGGCATATATAAGACAATTAATTGACTATATAATAAGAGAAATGATACAAGATCAACGTTAATGTGGTGCCTTAGAAAACTTATTTTAGGGAACTTTTTGTTTCTTTTATAAACTTATTTAATTCGGTATTTAATGAAAAGAGGTTAGCACTGAAGAGGCAGGGGAAGAGACAAGAGATTAGCTATTTTCGGTTCTTGTTTAGACTGAAAAACAGTGAGTTATACTTGTATAATTCGTCTTTTCGACACACTTGTAGGTTAACTTCAGAAGGAATATGCCTGTCAGTTATTGAAACAAAAACTTTGTTTTTAGTTGTTATTATAACTCCAGTTGGTTCATAAGCTTCTTTTTTTTTTTTTCGAAATAATATTCATAAATTGATCCTAACAGGGCCAGGAAAAACCAACAATTTAAGGGTCAAAGTAAATCACAGAGCATTTGGCTTGGATCGTGATTGCTTTGAACAGTGAATAATATTCATGGACCATAACAGGAGCTACAAATGTCCATCAGTAATCCTCTGTTATGGTCCACAAACAGTTGGTCAAGTTTTTTTTTTCCCTTATTTTTTTCTTTGAAGCTCTACAGTAACTATTATTGTCAGTAGCGCACATTTTTTAACGTCATATTTGATCAAATCACATTAAAATAGAAAAACATGTCGATTTGATAAAATCTTAATACTAATCTAACAATTTAAACAATGAACCTTACTCCTCCTACAGTATACTTCTCATTTTTTTGTTAACAACAATGGTCCTTTTTTTTTTTTTTTTTGCTCCAGACCAATGGTCCATCATTGATCATTGGTGTTTCCTTTTTTTCTTAGGTAGAGAAAAAAGAAATAATAATACGAGATAGTTTCTCTGGTAGATTAGACATACTAATAGTGTCAATTTTTAATTGTTAGATTCAATTAAAATCACATTAAATTAAAAAAATATACGAAACAGATAATTTCTAATCACATCTGATAACTAAAAATAAAAAACTATTGATAGTTTATTTTTTAGTTCTACTAGAAAAGTTTTTTTTAGCAAAATCAATGTGGATTTTAGGCTTTAATTCATGAGCTGCTTATAGAGCGTCCTTGACCCTATATAAAAGAGTAATGGTTTTCGGTTGGACAATTCTTGCTTACTTGATTTTAGAGCCGCCTAGAATTCCTGGTGGGAATTATGAGTTTAGAAAGAAAAAAAAAAAAAACCCTTGGTATTTGCGATTCCAGTGTCCCACTCTGAAGCTGATATCAGTTATCCAACATGGATGATGGCAGTGTGAGGTGATGTAGAAAGTGACAATTGCTCAATGAGGTGATTGATAGAAGCCAAAAAAGAAAGGCAAGAAAAATGGCTTTCTCTTGACCGAGACTCTCGAGTAAAATAATTTAATCCGTTTATTTTACTCATTTAAATTTTATTATAATAAAAAAAATTTAAAAATAATTATGTTTAACATTTTTATTATAATAAAAAATTTTCACATAAAAACACATCTTAACTTAAATTAAAATTTTAAATTAATAAACTAAACGAACTCTTTATTTTAATTATTAGATTATTTTTTTTAATAATTAGATCTACCGAAAGAATAATTATGTGTGATGCACTGTAAATTTTTAATATAAATTTATACAAATTTAATCATTAAAAATTTAATTTAAAAAATAAAATAAAATGTTCTACTAATGAGTTTTTTTAAGAGATCTCACCGTAGAGACTCTCAAAAAAATACATAAATAAATAAACCAATTCTCAAGATTTATACAACGCATGCATAAATAAATAAATACATATAAGATTGAAAAAAGCATATAAATTTAATAAAACTCAACGAAAATTGATGGCTCGTAACTATGGTATTTTTTCAATCCTAATTCCTACCAAATAGTTCTCAAAATGAGGTCATTTCTTTTTCTTTTTGGCCTTTGAAGGCAAGAAGAAATACTGATATCCCCTTTGCTTTTAGCTTTTGGGCACTAATTGAGCAAATATTCCAAGGCTTGACTTTAAAAAACAGTCTTTTGACAAACGAATCAAGTTCTAATCACAAATCTCAAGGCCTAGAATGGCAAGCAGAAAGGTATCACAATCAGGAAACAAGTGGAAGTGTTTGGTGGATTCTAGTTTCTACCTAGGAAAAAAAAATGTGTAATTTGGATAATAATTGTCGAGCTTTGGACGAAGTAAGATCTTCACTGCCTAAAAAAGGTTGGATGGCATATTTTTTTTTCTTTTTTTATTTTTAAAATGACCTATTTTAAGTTTTAACGTGACAATAAATGCAAATGGTCTTCCCTAATTTTCCCCCAAGAGCCAATTATTTGTGTGGTTCTACACAAATGGACGCTGAGAATGGACAAACTCTTGGCCACATTGTTCATCTTTTAACATTTTCACTGACTGGAGGCTGCACAAGTTTAAATAATCAGATTTGCTGCATTAGAGATGTAAATTGTACCATGCCGGTTGGACCCGGCTCATAATTAACTAGAACCATGCGTACTTCATGTTGTGTTCAACATAATCCATTAAAATTTCGTGTTGTGCTCGTAGCAATCTAATATTTAAAATTAAAGGCTCGGCATGACCCATGGCCCAAGCACATTTGAGCTCCTGCAGTACCAAGCTCGTGCTTGGCACAATGGGCTTTTGGACTGGCTCATTGGACCATTGAGTCGTTTTAAATTGATTTTTTTATATGATAAAAAAATAATTTTTTGAACAATTTGAAATAATAAATAATTAAAATAAAAATATAATTTCATATGCTATTACTAAGCCAAAAAAAAAAACTTGATATCATCATAGGTTCTAATTTATAAATAAAATTTTTCATTTTATTTAAATTATTGTGAAGAGAAGACAACTAACATAAAAGGATTACAAATCTAACACTACATAAATTATTTAAATTACAGAATTAAGAATCGCCTATAAGCAAGTAATTAACAAAAAAAAAAAAAGAAACAAAAGAGCCGTTGAGTTGAGATTTAAGAACATCAATTCTTAAATACACTTAATATAAGTGACAAATATATTTTGTATTAAGATATTAGATTATATTTAATTACATTTAATTTTGTTAATTTGAGAAAATTAATGTAAATCAATATAAAAATTTCCCTTAAACTATATCCATTGTAACACTTTATCCTCTAATCTTTAAAATGTAACATGTGTTCTTCCTTAACAATAAAATGTTAACAAAAAAGCTCCATCTGTTAGGTTTATTTTTAACTAAAGTTAACATTTAATTTGTTATTTTTGGGTATTTTAGTAGCTCTATGGTTTAAAATTTAATTTGAATTGAAAATTAATTTAAATTTAAACTTTTAATTATTATACATCTATTATTTATTGAATGTAAGTTAAAAATTTTATGAATCTTTTTGGTAGAATAACAAAATTTATATGGTTTTCTTAAATATTTAAATTAGTTTAAATTCAAATTAAATTTTAAAACATAGAATTATCAAAATACCTGTGAAATAGCAAATTAAATGTCAATTTTAATTAAAAACCTAATAGAAGGGGTTCTTTTGTTAATATTTCATTGTTTAAGAGGAATAGATATTGTGTTTTAAAAATTATAGGGTAAAATGTTACGAGGGATATAATTTAAGGAGAATTTTTGTCATTAATCCTTAAATATTTTAAGATCAAATGAATTCATTCTATTTTTCTTTTTTTTTGGAAATTCATTCTATTTTGTGGATAAATAAGTTTTTCTAAATATTGAACAATACGTAACAACAACATAAAACTTATACAATAAAATGAGAAAAGTTATATTTTTCGTATCAACGCATCGTGCTCAATTGACCTTGTTGTGTTTATCATCGAGCCGTGTCATGCCAAATTCACATGCTTAAAACTATGAGCCCAACATGGGTCACCACTTCATGTCGTGCTTAACCCAACCCATAATAATCTTGTGCCGTGCCGTACTCGGCTCAAAATTTTTCATGTCATGCCATCATGCTCGATGGGTCGCCCGGGCTCAATTGACATCTCTAGAATTGCAGGCCAAGTTAGCCCCAGGCAAAAGTCAGCAACTTGGTATCATCGAAGTAATTTAAGCAAAATGACCATCAACTTAAGTTGAGGAGAAAAAGACGATACAGGAAAAAAAACACTATAATTATGAATTTATGATGATTCATTAGTACATTCTTTAACCGGGGTAAAAGATAAAAGGTGAGGAAAAAGAGAGCAAATTGAAAGAGTGCATGGTATGCATACAACGACAATAATGTAACTTAGCCACATGCAGTTTACAGAAATATTTATGTTTACAGAATATTTATGACATTCAAGCCCACCTCCTTCGAGGAGCATAACAGATCCTCAAGCCTCATCTATCTGTTCCTGCACGAAACCCACCAGAGTTACACATTGTACAGAATGTTAAAAGATCTAGATCCCAAAAAAATCCGAATTCGACAATCACAACTCAGAATTCTTAGGTTTTTTTTGCTTTTTTTTGTTTTTCAAAATATTGAATCAATGGTTTGAACCAAACCTCAAAAATATTTGCCTGTTTCAAAAGAATTTTTTAGTTCAAACCGTTTGAACCTATTTACCAAATGGCCTCAAAATTAGAACTGCAAATTGGAGAACTTTTGGGCATCCATCAAAGAAAAGGAAGAAATATTTGCTTGTACCACGTCAGTTACTACCAATATAAACAAATAAAACACAAGCAGGAAAGAGTATTAAAGTCTCCTTTCTTTTCCATGATAGACCAACAGATATCAACAACAAAGTACTATATTTGATGTAAAGTGATTCAGTCCCCTTTGATAATGATATATTTATCTCTTCTTGCTCCCTTTAACAGCTTCGACTTAATTCAAAGTAAAATAATGTTTTTGTGGCCATAAAAGAAAATAGCTAAAATATCCCTCCAACTATATATCAGTTGATGGTAATGCCCCAGCTAAAAGTTGCACTGACCTGCATATCAGAGGTCCAAAGAGTGAGGTTGTCCCTCAGCAATTGCATGATGAGAGTGCTGTCCTTGTAAGACTCCTCGCCAAGTGTATCGAGTTCAGCAATAGCTTCCTCAAAAGCCTTACGGAAAAAGAACACAGAAATCATTGGAATTTACGTAATCAGAGAATGCTAAGTTTCATGCCATCGGAAACCATGTACTATACATATAGCAACATCGAACCTCGTAAAACAGAGTTCTTAATACATAGAATAGTGCAACGAAACAGATGAACACAGATCTAGAATAGCTCAAGTTATGCTCTACGTATTTAGCAAGCAACTCCATATGCAGGATATCACAGTATGTCAGTATTATTCCAAATTATCTCTAATATGCATCTGTTAGAAAACTCCATATGTGGTAACAACAGTCCCTTAATCCCCACAATAAAGAGAAGAAAGGTATTTGGACCAGGTAATTTCTAGTACTACTAATATGGATACGAAAAAATTGGTCACATGTTTGAACTTTTGCAACAAAACATTAAAAACACCCTGCAGATTAAACTCAGAATTCTTAAGGGTTTTTTTTTTTTTCTCGAACGAATGAAACCAAACCTCAAAAAGTTTTGCCAAAGGCTAGTTTATTTAAACTTTTTGATTCAAACCACTTGAACATGTTTACTAAATGGGCACTTAACTTCCAGGTAATCTCCAGTTATGTGTTCAAGCTTAGACCAGCGTGATGGTCGGTGTATACGGGCAATCCACTTTAATAGGGATTTGCATGCCACGAAGGAATACCTTGCCTTCCTGAAATTACATGGGTACACCACCCTCCATCTCTATAACCCTTTTTTCATTTAAAAAAAAAAAGAAAAAAAAAGAAACTTAACTAGTTGAGACTTCACTGATCGATTGTTTTGTTCCCTTTTCCATCAAGCTGAAGCGCCCGAAACTAACAAAATGAATTACAACCAACAAATAGCAGCTTATATTTTTCAATAGCATCCCAAGTGATGCAAGCTAAATTGCTCAGATTTATCTCAGGAATAATGCTAAGCATACCAACTTTGTATCCTAATTTGTTCTCTGTCTTAACTATATCCATTTCAAGTTATCTTATTTATATGTGTATAGCACTCTGATTGTTTTGGTGATACTTAGAAACGAAGCTGCCATTGGCCTTATCAGTTAAAGGAAAAAATAATAATAAATAGAATAAAATAAAAAGAACTACAATTGTCTTATTCCTGACAACTAACAAGTAACAAAATCAAGAACTAGGGCCCGTTTGAAAGAGCTTGTGCTTTTATTTTCAAGTAGCAGAATAAGAGAAGCGTAAATCAGAGTTTTTTAACTAGTGTTTAGATAGTGCATGAAAAAACACCTATTGTTAAGTCAAAAGTTAGAGCTTTTAAATCTGTTCGGGTAAATAAGTCAAAAACACCTATTGTTACAAAAAGTAAGGTAATGCAAAGATATGGATGGAGTTTTTAATTCGTTATTCCCAAATAAAAGATTAAAAATCTAAATAAAAAAGTTTTTTATGAGTTCTTTTTTTATAAGCACTCAGGAGGGCGCTTGTTCTAGAAGAGCTTATAAAAGTTAAAAGCACTTTTATGTTGCCCATTCGAACAGGCTCAAAAGTAGCTTTCGAACTAAATAAGTCAAAAACAGTTCTTTAAGCCGATAAAAACAGGTTCCTAGTGAAGTACAATCCAATCCCCTCAGGAAAAAGTTGACCGTGTCGTCATCAATATTTTTAGGTTATCTGGAATCACCTTCAAACACTCTTTATACATTTCTTCTGTGAAATGGGCCTTGGGTAGAACTCATCCCCAAAGGTGTGCCCAATCCACATCTTAATATCAATTTACAATCTAACACCCTCAAGCCGCATGCAAGGCTAGGGTCCAATCTCCAAACCCACATCGCCTGTACAATTTGTCTCTGATACCATGTCAAGTGGACCTTGATTAAAACTTATACCAAAAACTAATTGGAAAGGGTGTCCAATCCACATATAAATATCAAATTCACAATATACTACTTTCAATATTAATTTCCTTTTTCCACTACCACACTTGCATTTTTATTATCAACTTTATTTCACTCATGTATTACCTATAACAGGCTTGAAAGTCTATCTTACTTTCCACATATAAATAATTTCTTCAAGAATATATATATATTTTTTTTCGAAAAAGAAGATTGTTGCAGCTCTAATAAAAATCTCAAACTTATAAATTCTTTATAGCACTGCGACTCAGCCTATTTGAAGGTGGGACTTGGGCACTAGAAGATATCAAAGCACTGTACAGTAAAATTAACATGACGCCGCCATGCAAAAAGTAAAAATAAAGAAATAACATGATGCCAACTTAACATCTACCAAACTCCAGCTTTCACAAGGAAAATCAATTACCCCCAATTAAAGCATCACATTCACACTAATATTATACTTTGCCACACATGAAAATTCAACTCCTGTTTGAGAGAAATCAAAAGTTATTCACTCACCATCGTCAAATTTCTGATTTATGGCTGACCAAATTAGGTAAATACACTAGATACTTGCTAACATGAAATGCACTGAAATAGAGATCAATAATTGGGTTTCATCTGAAATCCAAATGCAAAAGAACTACCATTTCATTTCTAGTTCAATAGCTGTTTCTGAGCAGTGCAAAAGAAAAACTGGTATTACTAAAACAAAATAAAATTGATTCTGAACACCATCTTATGTATCAGCTTCCATTTACGTGATTGTAGTAAAATGAGTACTAACACCAAAAAAAAAAAAAAAAAAAAAAAAGGAAAAAGAGTACGTTCCATATGCGAAAGGGAACTAATCCTCACTGCGATCCACTAATATCTACTGATCAAAAGACCGAAGAAGCAAGGGTCCTAAATATCTACAGAGATATTTAAATTCAGAACAAGAAAGCTTTGCGACAAAACAAATAGAATTTAATGCTTGGGGTCAGCAAGTGGAGGATATACAACTGTTAAGACACGTGAATATGGAAAATATATCAGTCCCAATGTACATTACTATAACTGGTAAGAGTGGGGCAAGTTTGAACCCAAATCAAATTCCCAACCAGTTCATAGTACACTTATCCTTTCACTCTTTTTTTTTCCTTTCTTGAATCTAATCATTCGAAATTTCAATTTCCACATAAATGATAAAACGCCAGATATACAATAGGTGGACAAATAAATACTTGTATAAATACACAGCACGTGCTTAAAAAAAAGAAAAGAAAAGAAAAGAAAAACTTAAGATCATAACACTAAACTATAGAAGATATCACCCAGGTCCCAGAAAAATGAAATAGGGAAATCATAAGGTGATTTGTCTTTCTGAAAGTTTTTTTTTTCCTTTGGTCTTTTTGCTTAATTAACTCTGAATTAATAATTTAAAATTGCTTAAGAAAACATAAAGTTCTAAAAAGATCGATGTTTGATTAAACGGGTTTAATTATATTATACATGTTTAAAATATAAAATCATTTTAATATTATAAAAACAGACAGATATCTTCCTAATAATTGAGATAATAATTTGCTAACTAAAATATAATACAACAACCAATTGGTATTTACTATTTCACCTCGCCCCTCAATACGGAGGAAAAACATAAATAAATAAAAAAAGACAAATTCTATTAATCATGAGTCGGAAATTAACCTGCTTCGCCATTGCACAGGCTTTCTCTGAGGAATTGAGAATCTCGTAATAAAACACCGAGAAATTAAGCGCCAATCCAAGCCTTATCGGATGCGTAGGAGCCAGATCAGTAGCCGCAATATCCTTCAAAAAACCCCAAAATTTTCATACAAAAATCAATCAATCAATCTCTTTGTACAATGAAATGAAAATGCACAAAATCGAACAAATTCTGACACTACCTGAGCAGCCTTGTAGGCCAACATGGTGTTCTCGGCGGCGGATTTTCTCTCATCCCCAACCTTGAACTCCGCAAGGTACCGGTGATAATCTCCTTTCATTTTCAAGTAAAAGACTTTGGATTCGCTACTCGAGGCAGAAGGAATCAGCTGCGAGTCCAGCAGACCTAGAATCCCCGCGCAGACATTGGAGAGCTCCGATTCGACCTTGGATCTGTAGTCCTTGACGAGTGAGACGTGGTCGTCGTTCTTGCGGCTCTCCTCCTTCTGCTCGATCGAGGAGACAATCCGCCACGCCGCTCGGAGCGATCCGATCACGTTCTTGTAGGCGACGGAGAGGAGATTCCTCTCCTCGACGGTGAGCTCCGTGCCGGCGCCGGCACCGGCGCCGCCGACGACGAGCTTCTCCATGAACCGGACCATTTCCTCGTAGCGTTCGGCCTGTTCTGCGAGCTTCGCCAGGTACACGTACTGTTCTCTAGTTAGGTTTTCTGATACCCCGGAAGCCATTGATGAACCAGGGAAGAAGCAGAAGAAGAGAGAAGAGGAATTTGAGTTGATTTTTTTATTGAGATTCGATTACAGCTTGGAATTGGAAGAAGAAGAAGAAGAAGAGCAAGTTGCGACTTGGGGCTTATATTACGAGGAAAGTGAATGGAAAATTGGTTTTTGGCTGGCTTTTTTAGATTTTTTAATTTATTTGTTTTGAAGCGTACCTCTGAAAGTGATTAAAGAAACTTGTACTCGCTCTGTTGGAATGGTTTCGGTCTGTTGGTTTTGAAAACGGCGCCGTTTTGAATGTTTGGTTTGATTTAAAGACGAGTGTTTGAGGGCCTTTTAGCCTTTAGGCATGGGCGCGTGGAGGAGAGTGGTGATTGAGGCGTGATTGGTCGATAATTTATAAGAACGGGGTAGAGCGGTGAGATGGATCAGAGTCAGCTTTCCATGTAAGTCAAATATATGAAAAAATGAATTATTTTTATTAAGGGCGCGGAAGTTTATTTTTTATTTTTAATAAATATTTTTTTATTAATGTAATTATTTAATTAAAAAAATATTTATCAAAATTATTCATGTTAAATTTCGGCAACAGCCTAGGCTGCTTTCCGGGCTTCAAAGTTGTGGGATGGAAGCTTCTGAGGCCCGGAAACCCACTTCTCTCCTAAGGAGGTTCTTTTTTTTTTTTTTTTTTTTTTAAAAGTCTGAAATGTTTATAGCCAATTCGCCATTATTGCCAATATGCCATAACTTGGCTTTAGTTTTCTCTTTGTGATAGGCTTCACAAGCCAGCAATCTCATTACTGATTTTCTTGTTTGCTCTCCAAATTCCCAAATGTATATGACATCCTCGTCGTTGTCATATGACTATCGCATATTTTGACGATAAGGACAGTCAGATCGTAACAATTTTTGTTCAATCGTTCACAAAATATCAATATATAATGTCATTAAATATCCGTCATGCCCATTAATAGTGTAGAGAATGTTTTGTTGACGTCAAAATCCGTCAACTTAAATGAACCAGAATCCCTAAGGTATTTCAATTCAGCCAAGGTAGTTTTCTCTCTCTCAAACTATAAAGCAATTGATAGTGTTTTAATTCAAACAATCAGGTCATTCACTAATTATTAAAATTTTAATTATATTTTAAACCTAAAAAAAGAAAATCATAAATTGCTCCTCTTTAGAAATCCTAAGAACATGAGAATTGATTCATATCTCCCTCTAATAATATCATGCCATATTAATTAAAAATATCATTTTAATTAATATTTTTTATATTACACCAATTAAAACGTCATATTTATTCACGACTGTCACTCTGATTCATTCAAGCACCCTAGTACATGAAAAAATAAGTAACTAAAGGATAAACATGACAAATCAAGTTGACTAAATTAATAGTTGTCAACAATGTTACTATCCGTTCATTTCACCGATTCCAATTTAGAATTTGAGTTTTGTTGCAGTAAAAAACTCTCAGAAACAGCCACATTTAACTTTTTTACTATAGTAAAAAACTCTCACATAAAATCACATCTCAACTCGAATCAGCGAACTAAACGGATCCTTAGTCCCTAAACTAGAAGTATTGCGTGACTTTAGTCAGTGAATTTTTTTAGGCACGTTATTTTCTGAATCTTAATTTTTTTTGGAGTTCTAGTTCTTAACGCTAAAATTTATAAATGATTCCAGAAATTTAACAAAAATAACCACCTTCTAATTGCATTAGTAAGTGAAAAATTTATGGAGATAGGTATATTAAATGTAAAATATTCCCATTATTATTAATAAATCTCTTTATAATTTAGAACATTTTGTAGTTACTGTAACTATTTACGGATATGTGCTTATATCCGTTAAATTTCAAATTTCATTCACCAAAAATTGACATCAAGACTAAAACTACCAAAATCCAAGTACTAAGATGGTAAGGAAAAAAAAAATTCAGAAAGTGAAATAATACTCATAATTCAAGGACTAGCGATGCTAACTATCCTTAAATTAAAGGGGTGGTCATTTATTGCGGATGAAAGTAAACGTGTAGTTTAAATTGAAAAACCGGTCGTTTCCTTAAAAAAAAAAAAAAAAAAAGGGAAAAAAAAACATTTTCCCACGATTTCTTTTAAGAAACTAAAACCGTTTTCAAATAGGAAAAAAAAAACTAAAATCATCATTAATGTAAATGTTATGTTTGATACCAAAAAATTTGAAAAAGGCATATGCATGTTTTAGTTTAACTTTTTTTAATGCATAATACTATTTTAAACGATATATTTTTTATCATAATTATCAAACTTTAGAAGTTACAAAAGTAACTTTTAAATTTAATATAATTTAAAATACTAATATTATAACGATTAAATCAAAAAGTCAGTACAACAACCAATAAAAATCAAACGCTACAATTTGGTCTATGTTAAATCTAGTGCTAAATTTGCCAGCAATTATAGCCTTTGTAAAATTTACAGCAAAACAAATAGTATTGTATTGCATAGTGATTTTCTGCTATTTAGAAAATTATGTAGTATGCCATTAAAAACAAACAACTTTATATTTATTTTATTTAGTCTCTCGTTATTTTTGTTAATTTAAAAAAATTAATATTCTATAAAAATACTTTATGAAAACCGGAGCTGGGAATATCTGGTGATCTTTGTTAAGAAGGAAAAAATAACCTGTTAGGTTTTTGTTTTTGTGAATTGAGTGATATAGATGCTAAGTTTATGCCAATGGGTGTAAAATATAAGTATGCCACTTTCGAATGGTATAGTTATTTATTTTTTTTGTTCTTATTTAAATATAGAGTAAATTGCATCATTGCACCCTAAAGTTTCATATTTTGCATAATCTGTACCTTGAACTTTTAGTTTTGACAAAATGCACTCTGAACTTTAAAATCAGTTACAATTGAAATGTAATAGTTGATGGCGTTATCAAATTATTAGATTGAGACACGAGATTAGCACATGACATGGTTTGAAAAATGACGATCTTTGTCTTTCATGCACGAATCTCATATTTTAAACCATCAATTTGATAATGTTCATTAGTTATTGGACCTTAATTGCTATTGTTTTTAAAGTTTAAGGTGTAATTTGTCAAATTGACACATTCTCGTTTGGTAGTGTTTTCTTTTTATTTTGAGTATCAAAATGGAAATGAAAAATTTTGGGAAATGGCGTTGGGAATGTTTCTATAATTGCGATTGGTTATTTTTTTCTTTGAAAAATTGTTTCTTTTTTAAACAAAAATTTCATTTCACTAAAACAAAGTTACATACTCAAACTAATCGTAAGTGAGCACCACCTACAATGGAATTCGACCATGAACATTGACTGGATCCACCAGTAAAGATGGATGAAGCACATAGGTGAAATACAAGTGCTAATAACCAAAGGAAAAAGACCTGCTTGGCACATAAAGATTAAACGCGACCAAAGCTCTTTAGACAAAACCACTACAGTTGATCAATTAATGCAGTCGATTGAGACTAAACCCCAAGTAATGGGAACATAAGGGACACAACAAAAAATTAAATTTAGTCTGATACCATCACCCATGCTATTCAATAAATGAGTGGAATACATTGACAAATTCAGAAGGTAGGAAAATCACATACGCTATTACAGAACTAACACGATAACAAAACAATATAAACCAACACCAACAAGGTGGAAGTATTAACGCCTTTAGTACAAAACAATAAAAACAACGAAAAATAAATCGTCATAGCCAACATGGAGGACTCAAGGCAACAAGTCGGCCATCACGCCACGAGTAGGTAATCAAATATGAGAAAAGCCACCGTGAAAGGAGTATAACTATCGACCACAAAATCAAATACAGAGATCCCCAAAGGAATCGTTGTACTATCGGGATCGAAACCCCAATGCCATATGCCCACCACAAACATCCCGCATCTCGCATTGTCGAAAGCTCCAAAGCTTCCATCTCTGGTAGTGAGCATCCCACACATCACGCCTCTCATATTCGTCCAACACAATCGCCACCACACCGCACCCATTAGCCATAAGAACCACCTGCAAGACTCAAGCTACCATTGCGAAGGCCAAGAGTTTGATGATCTACCAGATGCAACATCAAGACTCTGGCTCTAAGAATAAAACTAAAGAGAGAAACGCTAGTCACTTTTACAAATGAAAGAGAGAATGTGAAAGGACCCTATTCCTTTGAGATTATTTTACATAAGAAAAAGTAAAAACGAGTTTGTATATGTTTTGAGAAATGCTAGCGACATTCTTTCTGTTACTCTCTATATTTATTATTAGATATGTAGGGTGTGTTCGGTTGTCCAAAAAACTCCAAAAAAAATCAACTCGAGTTCCAACTTTATTTAAGTTCATGTTCTTTTAAGTTTGAATTCGAGTTTGAACTCGAGTTCAAGTGTCCCCTTCAACTCAAGTTCAGAAACTCGAACTCAAATTAATGAACAATATTTTTTTCTATTCTTAAAAATGCTATAACTTTTTCGTTTTAATCCTGATTGAGATGATTTTTTTTCTATGCGTTGACAACGAAAAGACGAATAAAACCCCACCCATATACCCTATTAAAATTTTTCATCACCATTGAGTTTTTATTAAAATACTATAAATACAAATTTAAGTTTTGACTCACTTAAACACAAACTCAAAAAAAGATTCTTATCTCAAATGTACACACCTAAACACAAACTCAAGTTATAATTTAAATTCAACTCAAAAATTATACTAAAGTCACACTCTAAAAGAACATACCCGTAAACTCTCTTATCTTATTTTTATTTAAATAATAATATATCATATTTGAGTTCACGTGTCAAATAATTAATTGAGATTGTGATAAAAGAGTCACAGAAAGTGTAAGTTAGAGCCCACGAGACAAGGCTCCGCAAGAAATAAGCCCACGTGCAAATGGAGCTGGACTGGGCCTCTTTACGTTTCCCGTTTCCCCGTAAATCCGACAAAACCCTATCTCGCGCTCTTGCCTATATAAGTTTGAAGTGCCGAACACCATTTTTTCCAGAAGAAAATGGAGCTTTGTACCTCCCAATCCATGTCCAAACTTCCCATCCCCAACCACCACCCTAGCAGGCTTCTCATCTCAAACCCTAATCACCTCCATTGCAAGTCCTCTCTTAACCCCCTCCGACGAAACTCACTCTTCTCTCCCGCCGCTCGTGGACTGCACTATCGTACGTTCTTCATCCTTTAACGCTTGGTATTCAATCGAAACGAAGCTCTCATTTTTCTTTCCTTGATTCGAATCCTGCTCTGTGTGCGCCATTTTTGGTTTTTGTGGTGTGATTTTACTGTTTATCATCGATTGCTTCGAAAACCCTAGGTTTGCTGACAATTTGGGGCTTTGATATAGTTGATTGAGTTCGAGCTCTTTAGGAATTGATTAGTAAGTTCTTCTTGATAGTCTTTAGATATTTTACGAGATTAGTGGACTTGTTTTGTTTATTTGATTCCCCTGTGACTTGTAAAAGTAGCAATTTTGAGACTTTTGCCGCGCAAAAAGTGGACGGAATACTTCATGTTCAGTTATGTGCCCAATGTTATTTTGTTTTTGGAAAACAATTGCAGAGACTACGGTGTTCTTTTCATAAGTTTGGGTGGAAAACTTGAGCTGAAATTTAAATTTTTGTGAGGGAAAATACTGTAGTAAAATGGTTGAATTGTGATTCAAATCTATTGAAAAATAACTTGGCCTAATTTTACCCTTTTTTTTAATGAAGTTCTGGAGTGTCTTTGGTATTTGAAAAGTTTGGGGCAAGCAGACACAGGGACTAAGTTTGGGGGGATTTTTTTAATATGCCCTTTATTTGATTATATCGTTACGCAGCTTTTGTCTTTTGCTTTAGAAGCTTTTATTGCGTCCGTGTTCTTTACTTGATTCAGAATGTGAAAATGACATTAAAGGCAATTGATTCAGAATATCCACTTTTGTCTGTTTAGTATTTAACAATTAAAAACCTTAGATTGTTTTTTCCATGGTGCTTTAGATGCTAATTTAGATTAGTATTTTCTCACTGCACAACAATGTAACTGAATTTTGCCCGGAACTTATTTATGCAAAATATAACGTAATTGTTGTTCCCACGCTTCCTTTTTGGCATTTAGCTTGTGGTTAAACTGATATCTGTATTTATAGCTCACTGTTATGTGCCTGTTCTTTTTATTTTTCAGGATTGATCTATTCTCCGAAGTGCTTACCAAGAGCAACATCGGAAGAAACATCAAGTGGATCAAATAAGTACACTAGTGAAGCATCATCTGAAGAGACATTAGGTGGAGCTAATCAGTACACTAGTGAAAAGCGTGATTCTGTGATAACTTTTGAAGATTTTCCACCAGTAGAAAAGAAAGTCGATAATGATATTTTGACGACAGAAGTAACTCAAGAAAAGACTGAACAGTCACCCGTTGATGAAGGGCAATCATTGATATCAGAGGTTTTGGATAAGCTTAATGTAAGAAACTGCTTAATTGGATTTTACTGTACATATATGTTTATATATACAACAACAACAAGCTTTAATCCCATCTTAATTGAGGTCGGCTATATGGATTTCACTTTTCTACGCAACTCTGTTTAAAATTAGATTTTCCTAAAGGCCTAGACCTAGAATGTCATTCTTAACTATTTCGGTCCATGTAATTCTTAGGCTATATGGATTTCACTATACATATATGTGTATATATATATATTCGTTTATTTCCTTTGCATAATAGTGTCATTCTTAACTATTTCGGTCCATGTAATTCTTAGGCTATATGGATTTCACTATACATATATGTGTATATATATATATTCGTTTATTTCCTTTGCATAATAGTCTATGTCGGCTGTAATGGTAGCTCTATCTTTTTTTTCTTTTGATGGCTTCTCTCTCTCTCTCTCTCTCTCTCTCTCTCTCTCTCTCTCTGTTGCATTACGGGGTTTGTTTCTTATATTCACTTCTCGAGTGCTATCGAGTCCTGTCCAATATATTGCTAAGGTCCTTTAATTTATCTTTACTTGACAACTTTTAGTGGTGTAACGTGTTATATTAAAGTGGTGCAAACAAGGGGTTGTTTATTAAAGTTGGAGACTTAGTTGCGATGATGATGTCACAAACTAGTTGAGAGTATTCTCTGTGTAACTTTGACAAGTATTTGTGGTGCAAACAAGGGGTTGTTTATTAAAGTTGGAGACTTAGTTGCGATGATGATGTCACAAACTAGTTGAGAGTATTCTCTGTGTAACTTCGACAAGTATGTCGATCCTGAGCGGTTACCTGAGCAACTCAAGTAAATGCTTCTTCTTCTTCTTCATCTTCTTCCTAGTTGAGAGTATTCTCTGTGTAACTTCGACAAGTATGTCGATCCTGAGCGGTTACCTGAGCAACTCAAGTAAATGCTTCTTCTTCTTCTTCATCTTCTTCCTAGTTGAGAGTATTCTCTGTGTAACTTCGACAAGTATGTGTGGTGCAAATAAGGGGTTGTTTATTAAAGTTGGAGACTTAGTTGCGATGATGATGTCACAAACTAGTTGAGAGTATTCTCTGTGTAACTTTGACATGTATGTCGATCCTGAGCGGTTACCTGAGCAACTCAAGTAAATGCTTCTTTCTTCTTTATTTTGTCAAATATTTTTATGTTCTTTTTTAACTCTTCACATCTTTCTCTTCTTCTTTTGTCAGTTTTTTTATGCTCTTTTTTAACTCTTCACATCTTTGATTCTCCTTCTTTTTCTTGTCAATTTTTTTATGTCCTTTTCTAACTCTTCACATCTTTGTTGCTCTAGTGCACGTGACTGAGATGAGACGCATTAGTTATTATCTTTACACTGCCTTTATATAAGTTTTTCCTTTTTCTCGCTCCTCGTCAAAATTTCGTATCCCAGGTGGCATCTTGTTTTCCTCGCTCGTTTTTTGCTTTTTTGTTGGATGATTGGTTGCAGCTTGGTGGCAATTTTCTGTTTACCCGTCGTTGGCACTAATCATACTATTTATCCTTGCAGTTTGTATAATTAATACTTGCTTTTAAATTGCCACTTTTATCAAATTGGGGATTATTATTTAGATTGGTTGCTATGATGAATTTCAGAAAGTAAAGAGAGCTCAATTTATGTGCTTGATGAAAACTTTTCCTGAGCGGTTAACTGAGCAACACAATTTTCTCTTAAACTATAATTCCCTTAGTGCATAAGAACATTTGTGGTTATTAACACGCATGATTTTTATAGTATCAAACTGATGATGCATTTGGCGATATTGTTTATATTTACACATGTATCTGAGTACATCCTGCATTCCAGTTTTTGACCTTTTCCGGATATGAAGTCGCATTCCCATAGTTTAATGTTGTTACTTGAATTGACTATTGCAGATTGACTCTGAAGATACATACTCCATCTTACTTTACGGCGGTGGTGCCTCTATTGTCCTCTGGCTGGCATCTGCTATTGTTGGCGCAATTGATTCTATCCCCGTGGTACATAATCTTTTTCCCCCCTTGTTTTTTCTTGTTGCATCATGTTATATATGCCGCTTTTGCAATTTAAGACTATAACTTAATGGGATGCTGACGCTGCTCAATCTTTTTTTTTTTTTTTTGGGAAACAGATCCCCAAATTTCTGGAAATTGTTGGACTTGGCTACACAGTCTGGTTCACATATCGCTATTTGATATTTAAGGTAAAAACACTTAACCGTGTTGCACTTTTGGCTAGTCTTCTGTATTTTGAGTAGTGTGCCAACTGGGAACATTTTTGTATTTGCAGAAAAGTAGGGAGGAGTTACTTGCTAAGTTTGAAGAGCTTAAGGAGGAGGTTCTTGGATCAAATGATGATTGATAGAGACGACTACATGGTTGGTTTGGAGATACGTTTATGGAACACATGAATAATTGTGGAATTTGACTTTGTTGATTTGTATATTATATATGTTTCTTCAAAGGAAAAGGAAAAGGAAAAAAAGCGTCATACAAGATCCCAAATCCTTCCATAGAAGTCAGAAGAGGAAGACGGATTCTCATGCACAATATATTTTAGTATTCTTTCAACTCTGATTTTGGCTTCTAGATATACGGTTTGTCAACTCTTTATGGCTGTCGCTGGTTATCATCTGTCGGACAAAAAGTCTCTCAAAGTTTATCATCTGTCGGACAAAAAGTCTCAAAGTTTAGACCAAATTTAAATAGTTTGCGGGGGTTGGGTATTTTTATTTTTATGTATATTGTTATGCATGGTCGAAGTTTCTAGAGGCCAACACTTAGGTGTCGCCGTATCGCAGCTACAGTCCACATCAGATGGTACAGAATAAACCAGGAAGGTCAAACAATCTAAAGAGCATGAAGAAGATAGAATTACCAGAATCAGGATTCAAATAGGAATTTGATTTGAAATTAGAAGATGAATTCTACAAATTTTTAAGGGCTTGTGCACTTGTATTTTTAAAGTTACGGTGACTTGAGTTTAGATTTTAATTTAAGGTGTATTTGCGTTGAGACTCTAATTTGAGTTTGCGTTTGGATGTGCACATTGAGTTATGGTTTAAATTGAGAATCTATTTGAGTTTGTGTTTGAGTGGGTTAAAAATTGAATTTGTATATGGATAGTATTTTAATAAAAATTTAATGGTGATGAAAAATTTTAATAAAGTATATGGGTGGGGTTTTATTTGTCTTTTTATTATGAACGCATGAAAAAAAATCATTTTAATCGGAATTAAAATGAAAAAATTATGACGTTTTTAATAATAGAAAAAATATTGTTTATTAACTTGAGTTTGAGTTTAAGAATTTGAGTTAATGGAGAACTTGAATTCAGATTTTAGTTCTTAACTTAAGTTAAAACTCAAATTTTATAAAAGAATATGAACTTAAATAAAGTTGTAATTTGAGTTCAAACTCTTTTTCAATTTGGGTGCAAATAAATAAGCCTTAAGGGATAGTATCTTATTATAAATCTTAAAAAGTTAGGGTAATTTTGAAAAATATCTCTTAAATGTGTATGAGTTATGATTTTTATCTTTTATTCTTAATTCATAACTTTTTTAGTCAAATATTTACACTAATAACAAAGTATTTATTGAGAATAAATGATAACAGTCCAAACTCATACACTCTTAAAAGATAAATTCTCTATTTTTTTCAAAAAGGGCTAAGGATGGGCTCAGAATCTTAATTTGCTTCGAGTAGAAAGTGTATAAATAGAGGTCAAGAGTTGCCATTGGGGACAAGGACAATTTTAGTCATTGAGAGGTTTTCTAAGTGTTATTGTACTTTAAACAAGTATAATGAAAGTTTGAGAATCCACAAGAGGACGTAGGCAATACACCAACTAAACCTTAATAAATCTTGTGTTTTTTATATTTTTTACACTTAACATTTTCCGTTTTGTGTGTAAGAAATCCTTAGGGAAATCTAATATGAGTTGACAAGCTTTCAGCATCAACAAATGACGCTAGAATGAGGTCGAACCTCAGAGAGAAGAACATTCTATGATGGCTCCAAGGAAACGCTAGTGCGGTTACCAATTAAGGAGATTAAGGAAATTAGGATAACCAGGTCACTGGGGCAACTAATAATGTTGCTAATCAGGAAAATTAGGGAGATAAGTCCTCTCACCAAAAAAAGCTGCAAGCCAAGGTCAACAAGATGAAGCAAGTCATGAGGGAGAGTAACTTGATCCACCTAATCCCCATAACCCACCAGACCGAGTCATTCTTTTGCAACAATAGATGGTGAATTTGATTGAACTCGTTAACACTATGGCAGCAGCCTTGGCCGGCTGAAGTGTCGACCCAATTTCTTAGAAGCCATCAATAACGAGCTAAGAGGCAAGCAAGAGAAACACAAGATGCGGTCGAAGCCCAAACACTTAATAATGAAGGTCGAGGCGGCCTGCCTCCATTACCAACATAAAAGGATGAAGGAACCCTAGCCTAGGGAGGCGAAAATTTGCATGCTCAATTAAATGCTAAACGATGAGAGGAGGCACCTGCTCCGTTGTTGATGCATGGAGCAAATAGTACTGACAAGCTCAAAGCTCTACAAAGTGAGATGGCTCACTTCGACGCAGTTCTTCAAAGTAAGATAGCACAAGTAGATTTGGGTCACTTTGCCCAACAATTGCACATTGAGAGAAAATCATACTCTTATGATCATTTCTTTACTCCAAAAATTATGGTTGTCCTACAACCTAAAAAATATAAGGCACCACATATAGTACCCTATGATGAAAAAAGGGATCCTGATGAGCACTTGGCTATGTATTATGGACATAAATTGTTACACGGATACCTTGAAGAGGTATATATCCTCATCTACTAGGAGAAGAATCGGGAATTGGCTGGCGGAAGATTTTATCGGAGTCATCATTAATGAAGCAAAATCGACGAGGAAATTGAAGATCTGTTCTGAGTTGACTCAGTAGTTGCAAAGTCAACTGATTGACTTTCTTAAGAATAGCCTCGACACATTTGCATGGACATGTAATGACATGGTTGGCATTGACCTTAAAATTATGTGCCATAGATTAAACATCGACCCAAACTATCCCCAAGAAGGCAGAGACGTCGACCAATAGTGCAGAAAGGTTTGCGAAGTTAAAGGAAGAAGTCGATAAGCTAATTAAAAGTAACTTCATAAGGGAGGTGAATTATCCAGACTGGATATCAAATCCTGTATTGGTGAAAAAATCCAATGGAAAATGGCGAACTTGCATGGATTTTAGTGATCTTAACAATGTATGTCCTAAGGACAGCTTCCCCCTGTCAAGAATTGATCAACTAGTCGACACAATAACACGCCATGAGTTGTTGAGTTTTATGGATGCTTATTCAAGCTATAATCAAATTTCCATGTTCAAAACGGATGAGGAACACACAGTTTTTATGATCAACTGTGGGATTTACTGCTACAAAGTAATGCCCTTTGGATAAAAGAACGTAGGTGTACCTCGATGACATGTTAGTCAAGAGTGAAAAGTCTACACAACACATTGAGCATTTTGGGGAGATGTTTCAGATCCTTTGAAGCTATAACATGAAGCTAAACCCTTTGAAGTGTGCCTTTAGAGCTAAATCAAGAAAGTTCTTTAGATTTGTAATAAGCAGTCGAGGTATCAAGGCAAATCCTAAAAAGATTAAAGGCACTCTTCGACAAAGAATCACCCAAGAAGCCAAAAGAAGTTCAAAAACTAACTGGATGTGTCGCCGCTTTGAATAGGTTTATCTCTATGTCTACAGACAAGTGTGTGCCATTCTTCGATATATTGCGAGGAAATGAACACTTGAGTGGATTGAAGAATGTGAAACAACCTTCCAAAGATTGAAGGAACATCTGGGAAAGCCACCCTTCTTGTCAAAACCCATGTCGAGGGAAGTCTTAAGCCTCTATACCTTGTCATCTCCCCACACGCTATAAGCTCAGTCCTTATCCGAGAAGAGAAAATAGTATAACTATTTGTCTACTATGTCAGCAAACGACTTCTCGATGTTGAAACAAGATACCCTAAGATGGAAAAGTTATCTTTGACGTTAGTAATGATGTCGAGGAAACTTTGTCACTACTTCTAAGCTCATTCAGGTACTAACGAATCATCCCTTAAAACAAGTCCTACAGAAACCAAATACACTAGGAAGATTGCTAAAGTGGTCAATCAAGTTAAGTTAATTCAATTCAACATAGAATATAAACCATGTACAACATTCAGCTGTCCAATTGAAAGTTCATAAAAATTTTAAGAATAAAAACTAAAATTTTAAAATATGAGTGAAGGTATGTTCCCTCCGATATGTGGCTCTGTCACTGCTCGTAAAGACATTGATTTAGTTTGACTTATAGTATTTTTTTATCACTTCAAAGAAAATGTGCAAGAAATTCTTTAAAATAAAACAAATCAAATAAACACAAAATGTTCTTTTATTTTCAAATTAAAAAAATTCCATTGTACAAAACACAAAGTTTGGACCTAATTGCAAGGAAACTGGGAAGTTTCACTTTTTATTAAAAAGATAAGGAGTTAATGAAAGATTAAGAAAAGGACCAATAAGGCAACCCCTTTTACGTTTTGGGGACTCAAAAGTCAAGATTTGAAAAAAATAGGGACCCAAGTATCAAGTGCTTAAAAGTTTAAGGATCTTTGAAGCAAAATTTCCTTTTAAAAATGGATAAAAAAAACCCCTCTTGTCTAGTGAATACTCGGTGAATTAAAAATGCATCTAATAAATGATTCTTTTATTAAATTTTGGGTTTTTGATACTTGGTTGCTTAGAATCCGTTCACTTCGCTGATTCGAGTTTGTAATTCGAGTTGAGATGTGATTTTATGTGAGAGCTTTTTACTGTAGCAAAAAAGTTAGATGTGATTGTTTGTGAGAGCTTTTTACTGTAGCAAAACTCGAATTCTAAACTCGAATTGGTGAAGTGAACGGGGCCTTAAACTTTTTGGGTTTTGCCCTAATTTTTGCAATTCCTCCCTTCAATTTGTTAAACTATTGTAATGGCACACATTTTACTGACTGTGGTTTAATTACTCGTGGAAAAATCAAATTCCTTCTTTTCTGTTGACAACAAAACTCTAATCCCCAAAATTCTCTTCATAATGTCTGTATCCTTCACTGTAGACCTCCAAAATGCTGATAAATCAATAAAGACACCAAATCTTCCCTTCCATGGCCAACAGCTGATGCATGTGCCTCGCTGATGACGTGAAGTCTCTCCAAGCCCATCTCCTCTTACACGATGCCAATGCATGTGGATCTAGAGGACGTTTGGTTAATAGATTCAGAATTATTTTTGATTTACGTGTGTTTTTTGTGAGAGAAAATACTGTAGCGAACCACGAACCATGATTCGAACCACGACACGAATCTTTGAACCAAACACACTAGTATTTCACTATTCTTCTTGATGCTCAGCACATGCACGCTCGACGATGAGTTTTTTTTTAAATTTTGATTGGATTTGGATTTGAAGATTTGAGAGCTTTGTGTTAGGATTTGAAATGAAATATATGGAATTTCGGTTGCACATGCTTTTACATTACTAATTTAACAT